GGGAATTGGTTATACATGTTTGAAATTCATTGTACCTCACCAGCAATCAAACAGTTGTAAATTAAAGGCACCATCTTTTCTCAGTATTAAATGAGCAAAGATTAGAGGAAAAACTCAAGTCACAGCAGACTGGGTAGCTATGGAATCCTCACGACCCTCACACACCACAGAGAAGACTATCAAATGTTAGAAACTTTTATTAGTGTAACCCTAAAAATTCTCACTCCTCACTCCTCAGAAGAAAGGCTGGGCAATCTACTTCCATAAGTGATACTGCCTCGGAAACCCAAGGGCGGCTTGCTATGAGTCAGGGCTGACTTGACGGCATATAACAACAACAACAACAACAAAAATTCTCAAGCCCTTTCATAATTTTACTTCTAGAAATCTATGCAAGGAAATAATATTTCTATAATGATTATTAGATTGCACATGAATCAAATTGTCTACATTTGTGGAAAGAAATGATGGAGATGCTCAATATTATCAGTTAAGACATAGCCAGGGGCCAAGGGCGGAACAGACCATCAGCTGCTTATATACAAATCCAAGTTTAAGCTGAAGAAAATCAAAACAAGTCCACAAGAACCAAAGTATGGCCTTGAATACATCCCACCTGAATTTAGAGATCATCTCAAGAATAGATCTGATGCACTGAACACTAATGACTAAAGACAGAAGAGCTGTGGGATAACATCAAGGACATCATACAAAAGAAAGTAAAAGATCATTAAAAATACAAAATAGAAGGAAAGGACCAAAATGGATGTCAGCAAACTCTAAAAGTTGCTTTTAAGTGCAGGGAAGCTAAAGTGAACAGAAGAAATGATGAAGTAAAAGTAGATTTCAAAGGTCAGCACAAGAATACATGATAAAGTATCATGATGATACAAAGACCTGGGGTTAGAAAACCAAAAGGGAGGAACACACTTGACATTTCTCAAGATGAAAGAACTGGAGAGAAAATTCAAGCCTCAAATGGCAATACAGAAGGATTCTATGGGCAACAGATTGAATGATGTAGGAAGCATCAAAGCAAGATGGAAGGAATATACGGAATCATTGTACCAAAAAAACGATCGACAACATTCAACCACTTCAAGACATCATATATGATCAAATGCTGCTGATACTAAAGTAAGTAGTGCAGGCTGCACAGAAGCAAAAAAAAAAAGGAATACCAATTGAGATACTTCAAGAAATGGAAGCAATGCTGGAAGTGCTTATATATTAGTCTATGACAAGAAATTGGAAGACAACTACCTGGCAAACTAACTGGAAGAGATCCATATTCATGCACATTCCAAAGAAAGGCAATCAAACAGAATGCAGAAATTATTGAACATTATCATTAATATCAAGGAGCTCTGGTGGCTCAGTGCCTACGGCATCTGACTGCTAACCAGAAGGCTGGCAGTTCAAACCTACCAGCCACTTCACGGGAGGAAGACTGGGCAATCTACTTCCATTAAGATTTACTGCCTTGGAAACCCAATGGGGGTCACTATGAGTTGGAATTGACTTGATGGCAGTGAGTTTGGTTTGTTTTTTTTTATCATTAATATCACATGCTAGCAAAATTTTGCTAAATATAATTAAAAAAAACAACTGTAGCTGCACATTGACAGGAAATCATCAGAAGTTCACACCAGATTCGGAAAAGGATGTGGAACAAATGATATTATGGCTGATGTCAGGTGGATCTTGGCCAATACCTGGAAGATGATACCTGTGTTTTACTAACTACATGAAGGCATTCAAATGTATAAATCATGACAGATCATGGATAATATTTTTTTTTTTAAAAAGTGGGAATTCTAGAACAAGTGAAACCTGTAGGTAGATCAATAAGCAGTTGCTTGTCAGAACAAGAGAATAATGCATGGTTCAGAACTGGTAAAGTTTTGTGGTAGGGTTGTATCTTTTCATCTTACTCAATCTGTATACAGAATAATCAAAGAAGCTGGACTATATGAGAATGTGGCATCATTACTAGAAGACTCATTGACAATCTGAGAAATGCAGACAATACAAGGAAACTTGCTTTCAGAAAACAAAGATGACTTGAAACACTGATGAAGATTAAAGGCTACAATCTGCAGTAAAGATTACACCTCAATATAAAGAAAACAAAAATCCTCACAACTGGACCAATAAACAGCATCACGATAAATGAAAGAAAACACTGAAGCTGTCAAAGATTTCATATTACTTAGTTCCACAATCAACACCAATGGAAGCAGCACTCAAGAAATCAGACATTGTATTGCACCGGGCAAATCTGCTGCAAAAGACCTCTTTAAAGTGCTGAAGAGCGAAGATGTCTCTTTGAAGACTAAGGTGTGCCGAACCCAAGCCATGGTACTTTCGATAACCTCATATGGATGTGAAAAATGGACAATGAGTAAGGAAAACTGAAGAAGAGTTGATGTTTTTGAGTTGTGGTGCTGGGAAAGAATACTGAAAGTACCATAGACTGCCAGAAGAACAAACAAACCTGTCCTGAAAGAAGTATAGCCAGAATACTCCTTGGAAGCAAGAATGGCCAGATTTCATCTGACCTACTTTGGTCATGTAGTCAGAAGGGACCATTCCCTGGAGAAGGATATCATGCTTGGTAAAGTGGAGGGTCAGCAAAAAAGGGGAAGACCCTCAATGAGATGGACTGACCCAGTGGCTGCCAACGGTGGGCTGTGAGGCTGGCACAGGACCAGGCAATGTTTTGTTCTGTTGTACATAAGATTGCTATGAGTTGGAGCTGACTTGATGGCACCTAACAACAACATCTCTATAAGGATCCTATGCACCTTACTAGCAAGCTATCCAATTCCGTTGGTGGGCCACAAGCACCTCATCTGCATAGTCCCACTCAGTCATTTCGTGGGAACTCTAAGACTATGGTGAGAAAGGCCATATAAAAGTGGTCCATTGCTCCGCATGCTGCTGTAACAGAAATACCACAAGTGGATGGCTTGAACAAACAAATTTATTTTCTCACAGTTCAGGAGGCTTGAAGTCTGAATTCAGGGCACTAACTCTAGGGGAAGGCTTTCTCTCTTTGTCAGCTTTGGGGGAAGGTCCTTGTTTCTTCAATTTGTTTCCAGATTCTTTGGAGATCTCTGTGTGGCTTGGCATCTCTCTTACTTTTAATTCTCAGAAGAGACTGGCTCAAGACACACCCTACACTAATCCTGATTATCAACGTAACAAAGACAACCCATTCCCAAATGGGATTACAATCACAAGCAGAGAGGTTACGATTTACAATACATATTTTTGGGTGACACAATTCAACCTGTAACAGAGGGCCTGAGTGAGACGGATTGACACCGTGGCTGAAGCAATGGACTCAAACATAACAATGATCATAAAGATGTACTCAAGACAATATGAGTCTGAACCAACTCAAAGGCAACCACTAACATCAAGCAGAAACCAGAGCTTCCCTATTAAGTGGAGGAGGTAGGTGTCTGTGTGAAGTCCTAGAGAGTACCCAAGAACAAAAAAGTGTTTTTGTTGGAAACCCAAGGAGGGGTCGTTATGAGTTGGGTCCAACTCGATTGCACATAACAACAACAACAACATCATTCATTCTGGTTGTTCCATCTGTGTCCCTTTCACATCCAGCAAGAGTTTTCCTATAACTTACAAACCATTCCTATTGCTTCTCTGCTGAAGACCCAACAACGCCATCCTGTGCTCTTGGGGTAACACTCTTGCCAAGGCCTAAATGGCCTTTTAAGATAGGGCTCCTTGTATGAGAGGTGAATTTGCTCTGTGAATCTTCACCCAAATCCTAAAAAAACAACAACAACAACAACAACAACAAAAAGATAGGGCCCCACCTACCTCTAGGATCATAACTTGTACTACCTACGCCCTTTATTTCATTGATCTGCTTGCATTTCCTCAAACCTGTCAAAACTGAATTGTTGCCAGGCCATGGCAGTTCGTCAGGAAACACACTTTTTTTAGCATCTTCCCTTGCTAGCCCTCAGGGAAGCAGGCCTTCTCGGGACACAGTCCAACACTTTCTTATCGTTAACCTGTTAATTATTATCTGTCTCTTAAGGTCTCTGGGCATCGTCCAAGTTTCCCAGCAGTGCTGCTGGGAATCAAGAAAATCATTCATCTCGGGCCATATTCGCACACAGAACGACCCTAGGGCCTCCCCAAAGACAATGTCTGCGCCTGAGAAACAGACATAACGGTACCTACTTAGCCTTGGGAGCTGCGGCCTCGGCGCGGGCTTAACTCACGCTCGCGAGGTGTTGCGGGACACGGCACCTAGTGACCCCCCATCTCGTGCGAGTGCCCCGCAGCGTTCAGGGCCCGCCGACCGTAGGCTGGGCGGGTAGTAGGGTGCCAGTTCGTTATTGGCAAAAGAGGAGTACTGGACTGAGACACGGGCACGGGGACCCGAAGAAGGCACACACGCCTCGGACACGCCGTAGGCATCATGGAAGTGGCTTTGGGCGCAAGAAGTCCGTGACCCCAGCACCCAGGAGGAAGACCTCGAGGTCTGAAGAGGTTTAGCTTGAACCTGCTCTAGGGAGAAAAGGGGGCAGGCGGCGCTGGGGTAGGGAGCGACCGAAGGCTGCGCCTGTTCGTTTCAGCGGACAGGGGCGCGGAAACAGGGCTGTGACAGGTAGGAGAGAGGCCACCCCACCGCTGCTCCGCGCCCGGTACCCTCACACCATCCTTAGAGATATCAGACCTCCGCCATTACCCTCCCCCACCCTGGTGGGTAAGGCCGGTTTGAAGGTGGACGCATGCGCGTGAAACGAAATTGTAAACCGCTGAGGCTCGAACCCTATTCGCGGGAAAGCGCAGGCGCAAAGAAAAAAACCTGGCGGGTTTATCGAGGTGGGGGAAAAGGGAGCCCAAGACGTATTCGCACAATAATCGGATGGCGGGAGGCGAGCCCGCTCGTGAAATTACGCATGCGCTTGAGCGTTGTGTGACGAAAGGGGGCGGTGCGGGCATTGGTATGCGCGTGCGCAGAGCTTGCTCAAAGGGCCTTATTTAGGTTGCGCAGGCGCTAGCTGGCCATTTCTCTTCAGCTACACCAAAGTAGTCTGTGCAGGTAAGTGCTAGTGGCTAGTATTGTTTGCCTCCTAGCCCCCCCTCCCCCGATGACCCCCTTTTTATAAGGATTGCTTGCGACCAGACCCCCCAGTAGAACTTGGGTGCCCATGCAAGTTGAGTGCTGCCGGTGGGATTTAGAAATGACCCGCCGAGTGCTGGTGGGGCCGCCGAGGCCTGCGGGCCGCGCGCCTCTATTGTGTGAGATGTCGGAGGAGGCGGAGCGGAAGCAGCCGCCGCCATTTCCTTGCCTCCACGCTGGCGCCAGGCCTGGGTGCTCTCAGCTTGGTGCAGCGGTATTGGGTACCTAAGGCAGCTTGGGAGCGCGAATCTCTGGCCAGGGAGTGTTGTGAGTTGGAATTACTGGATTTGAGGCTCCCGCCCATGTTCCGTTCCTAATAAGAGTTACCGGGTACGTGGGGCGCTTCCAGTGCGGAGGGCAGTTGAATTCATCTTTGCCAGGTCTGATCTTCATCCCCACCTCGCAGTCTTACTTCGACGCCAGGAGAGCTAAGAGACGATGATGTTGGGCACTGAAGGCGGAGAGGGATTCGTGGTGAAGGTCCGAGGCTTGCCCTGGTCTTGTTCGGCTGATGAAGTGCAGCGTTTTTTTTCTGGTGAGTTTGAAGTGGGCGGCGGGAGCTAGCTGCCCAGGCGACCCCGGCGGGCTGCGGGCTGGACAGGCGTGCGGGCCGCGGCGGGTCGGTTCGTGGCGCCCCCTATTGGGGCGCGGGTGCAGCGGTCTGGGGTGAGCTGCTCGCTTCTGGCCGGCCGTTGTTACGCAATGGAAATTGCGAAAGCCCCGCCCTCCCGCCTCCCTTGAGTGAGGCCGCTCAGGGTGTTTTTTTTTCCCCTGCTGTTGTCTTTTCCTTTAAGCACTAACTAATTGTATATGCCAGCCGGGGTTTCCGGGAAAAAAAAAAAAAAAAATGGAGAAGAGATCAGAATTCCCCGGCTCGATGTTGAGAAAATTGCCGAGTGGCTGAACCAGTTAACATCTTAAAATGTTTTACGTGTAATGATAACTTTTCTAGTTTTGGTAATTCCTTGAAAAGAGGCATTGTGTTTCAGAAGTTAAGATGTCACTTGTTAATTTCAGAAATTCTCCTAATCAAGGTTTGGTAATCGAAGTGCTCTTCCTTATCCAGTTCTTGATTGGGCTTACTTTACAGTTTTTTGGGAAAAAAGTCCAGGGACGGTTTCTTGTAGGTTTTGTTTGAATTTCTACCAGAATGCCCTATGTAGTAGAAAAATAAAGTTGTATGGAAAGATGCTTTTGTAGTATTGACTTACTATCTGAATTTAGCGTTGGTAACGGAAAACGACCAGTAAAACAAGAACCCAAGTACACTGGAAGCCACCTTGCAGGGGGCAAGACTGGGTTTGGCTTCAGCTGTGCAACTTGAATCATTTTAGCTTGGTAACACTGATCCCCTTTCACGTGAGTATTGGGCCTGCAATTTGGATTTGAATGAGAACTCTTAATACGGCTGTTGGTAAGGTAAACTGGACAAATAACCCAGACAAAAACTATTTTCCAAAATTGCCACAGAATTAAGACAGTCATTCAGACTTAATTTCTTGCTGAGAAGTTCATGTAGAAACCTGGATAGTGAGGACTTAAAAATATAACTTTTAGGAAGATGCTTTGATTGTTGAATTTTCCTGATGGATTGAGAGTGTATCACTGAGAGAATAAAAAATAAGATTGAGAGGATGGCTGCTTAATTGCCAGAAAGTTACACTATAAAAATTGGGAATCGCCATCATTCTAAGTTTTATAATTGTTTTTTAGAGTGGAGACGTGGATAGGCATTTCACCTGTATCACCCAGAGGTGGTTTTCAGTTTTAAATTCTGTATTAACGGTTGTTTTCTTTCCAGACTGCAAAATTCAAAATGGGGCTCAAGGTATTCGTTTCATCTACACCAGAGAAGGCCGACCGAGTGGCGAGGCTTTTGTTGAACTTGAATCAGAAGATGAAGTCAAATTGGCCCTGAAAAAAGACAGAGAAACTATGGGACACAGATATGTTGAAGGTTTGATTTATGTTGCCCTAGTAACAGTAAATAAAAGAAACAAATAGCTCTTATCCCCTTCTGAATTTTAGGTATTTGACCGCATGGAAATGGTCATCTAAGGGAGTTTGTGGCATCTCTTCCTAGCTTATCTAAAGACCCAGGAAGTCTGAACATTGTTTTCTAACTTTCCAAAATTGACTAATTCTAAGCACCTCTTTCAGTATTCAAGTCAAACAACGTTGAAATGGATTGGGTGTTGAAGCATACTGGTCCAAATAGTCCCGACACGGCCAATGATGGCTTTGTGCGGCTTAGAGGACTCCCCTTTGGATGTAGCAAGGAAGAAATTGTTCAGTTCTTCTCAGGTATGTAGTAGTGTTGGTTGCTGAGCAGTGAGTGGCTAGCTTCTGGCAACGTGATTTTAACAGAAACTTAAAGTTGAGTAGTTTAGATATTTAAGTTGTAAGCATATGCAGATGAATTAACGTTTTCTTCTTCCTGGAGACCTTCAAATAATTTAAGCCCATCTTAAAGGTGGAGATTAAGTACTGCCAAAATGTTAACTTTGACTATATTTAATATTATAGTTTAGATTAGACATTTGATTGAGGATTGTCCTCAACAGCTTAACTTCTTTCCTTATATTGCTGTTCAGCAAAATACTCCAAGTTAAAGGTAAGCGCCCTCACTGTTAGATTGAAGTACAAGTTAGGTTGTTATTTATGGCAAGTGTCTTAGGTTATCAGAGACACTTAACTTTGGTCATGAGACCAAAAACATCTCATGGCCTAATTATACAAAAAGCAACTTGGTTTTAGCCAGGGAAGTAAAAACATACTGAAAGTCAATCTAATGTAATGATGATAGATAATAAGGGAAATGTTTGCAGTCTCAGTATCTTAGTGTTTTGAAATTGTTCTGGGCCTAAAGTATTTGAATGTTTTTATGCTGAAGAGCTGATAAGATTGCATGTTTAGCAGAATGTTAGATTATTTATTTTAAATATTAGTCTTAATATTCATGATGTAGTAAACCGGAATTAAGAGCAAGAAATCCTTTCATGGTTTAGTTATAGTATGTATTAAAATCTTGAATATTAGTTTGTATCAAGTCCTAATAACTTTGTCAGAATATTTGAAATCAAGTCTGTTTTGATTGTTTTTATCTAAATTGGTGAGAATTGAATGCTATCTGTCAACTTTAAATATGAACATAATTTCATATTTTCTAGGAAGTGCTTTTAAGCCCTTTTTGTAAGCTTGGGAATGTATCCACGGAAAGGATTTTTCATAGACGGAATTTCCAGAAGTGAATCATACTACTGTTAGAGCATAAGAGTGCATGATTGTGCTGTGTAGATCAGTTGTTTGTTGAAAGTTTAGATTGTATGTTTTCTTGTCAATTATATGATTTAAAAAATGTTTCAATTTGTATATTAAATGTTTAAACGTTTAAATTTTTTAAATTTTGAAGTTCCACTAAATAACTTTAAAAGCATTTAAATATAAAATGAGGTCAAGAGTGTGTCTTGAATTTAGTAAAATGTTGTATTTAATGCTTTAAACTTTATTAAATTCTTGTGTAATTCTCAACGTTAAGTTGCATATATGTGTTCTTAATTGTTGAATTCTTAATGCATCCTATGTTAAACAAGTTTTTTCTTACATACTGTGCCATCGGGATGTGTTAAGAATTATTTTGTAGTAATGGAACTTCATATTACTGCAATGCATATTTAAACAGTACTTGTTGAAAGCATACCATTCACCTAAAGTTAAAATTCTGGTTTATGTAAAGCTATAAGAAGAATCATTTCTGGGCTTGTGATGTTAATATTGCCCCCCTACTGGGGTTATTTGTCCTTGGGTTGAAGGGTTGGAAATCGTGCCAAATGGGATAACATTGCCGGTGGACTTCCAGGGGAGGAGTACGGGGGAGGCCTTCGTGCAGTTTGCTTCACAGGAAATAGCTGAAAAGGCTCTAAAGAAACACAAGGAAAGAATAGGGCACAGGTGGGGATGGATGGTTGGTTGGATATGTCACTTTTCTTATGGTAAACAATTAAATCCATATTCTCTCTGCTTAAAAAGAAATCTATTTCATAGTCCCAATTGACGTTTTGCTACAATCTCTAAACTTTCTGTGTCAAAGTCCCACATTGCATTCAAATTAAATTTTAGGTTTTAAAATTGTCCCCAGTTCATTTGGCCATCATGAATTTTGTAAGCATTCTAATTTATAAACCCTCATTACTGGAGTTGAGAGACTATGGCTTTAAAAAAAAATGTTAATGCAAACCTGGCTTTAGCTGTAATAACACCCACCTAGTAAATTAATATTACCATAAGAAAATGTGATACTTTCTGATCTTGTTTTTAAAGTTGAAATGCAACAAACTTTTTCTTGCTGTATAAATATTCTGCATATGTATTAATAAGCATAGCTTTCAAGAAATTGTCACAAAAGGTTTTATTCTCTTTGCTTGTGACTATTTTTCATTGAAGCATGCGCTTACCTATGCTGATTCCTACTAAAAGCATAGGCTGGGATATTTATTGGCGAAAAGAAATGTGTGGTGTGGGCTAGACTGTTGGTGGAGGCTGGCTTTTTAGCCCACTTGCTATACATGTTGCCAATAGATTTAAAACTTGAAATGTTGAAAGTTGAGTGGAATTCTTTCCCTCCTGTAAATCATACACAGTACTCCTCTCCACCCCTAAGGTTAGGCATCCTGTGCCTAAGAGGAGTGAGGTTTTTTTCTATAAAGTTTACCTTAAATAATCTTAGAGTGAATTTCTGGTCATTGCCTATGCAAATATAAGAATCTGGCTTAAAATATTTGTCAGTTTTATGGCTATGACTAGACTGTTTTCTTGTATAACTAAATACCTGTATAAAATAGACTAATTTTTTTTCTCCCTCCCCATCCTCCTCCTCCATGAACAATGCTTTAGGTATATCGAAATCTTTAAGAGCAGTCGAGCTGAAGTGAGAACTCACTATGATCCACCTCGAAAACTTATGGCCATGCAGCGTCCAGGTCCATATGACAGACCTGGGGCTGGCAGAGGATATAACAGTATTGGCAGGGGAGCTGGCTTTGAAAGGATGCGGCGTGGTGCTTATGGTGGAGGTAAGGAAGGACATGTGAGGGTCAAGGAGAATGTTTTTTGTCTATGTGTAGGCATTTGATTGTACTTTTTTTTTTTTTTCTTTCAGGCTATGGAGGCTATGATGACTATAATGGCTATAACGATGGCTATGGATTTGGATCAGATAGATTTGGAAGAGGTAAGGTAAGAATTGAATTTATCAGCTGAAGGGATCTTACACTCTTGTCCATCTAGACCTCAATTACTGTTTTTCAGGAATGTCTGATCACAGATATGGGGATGGTGGTTCTACTTTCCAGAGCACAACAGGACACTGTGTACACATGCGAGGATTACCTTACAGAGCTACTGAGAATGACATTTATAATGTAAGTGTGAGGTGAATTTCACAAGTCAAATATTTGAGTAGAGCAGTAGAAACTTGAGCTATATCCAACTTAAGTGAAACAGCCTTTTATATAAATATTAGTGTTTTTGTAATTTTAGAAAGTTGACTTAATTCTTTGAAATGTCTTGTATTTAGTTTTTTTCACCACTCAACCCTGTGAGAGTACACATTGAAATTGGTCCTGATGGTAGAGTAACTGGTGAAGCAGATGTTGAGTTTGCTACTCATGAAGATGCTGTGGCAGCTATGTCAAAAGACAAAGCAAATATGCGTAAGTATGTTTGTTTGGGATTCTTTACAGGTGGTTGTGTGTGGGCACCTTTGAGATGAGTGACCTTCCAGTATGTATGTTACAAAAAAAATGAGGGGTGGAGCGTATGATTTGTCCTCATAGTTGAGTCTTAGGAATATGTTGAAATTGCATAGGTTTTATTTATTTTTGAATAAAAAGGGATTTGTGGTAAGAATTTTGACTTGAAGTATATCCTTGGTAAACAAGGTAGGTGTTTAAAGGCTAGCTTTTGAAATTTGCATTAATGCAGTAGTTTAGTCATCTGAGGAATACAAGTAGAATTTTTTTTTTAACCTAAGTATTTAAAGTTCACAGATCTTATTGTAAAAGAGATACAGTACTTACTTTCGTTTTTCACCAACACAATTTTTCACACTTTTTCTTTTCTCATTTCAGAACACAGATATGTAGAACTCTTCTTGAATTCTACAGCAGGAGCAAGCGGTGGTGCTTACGGTAGCCAAATGCTAGGAGGCATGGGTTTGTGTAAATATCACTTCAGCGTCTTTTTTCTTTTTTTTTTTTTTAAGCTAACCTTGTATACCTTTTCTCTCATTTCAGAACACAGATATGTAGAACTCTTCTTGAATTCTACAGCAGGAGCAAGCGGTGGTGCTTATGGTAGCCAAATGATGGGAGGCATGGGCTTGTGTAAATATCATTAGTTTTTTTAAAAAAACAAAATATATATGTCAATTATGTAAGTGAAGTTAGTTATTTAGTGAGTTTTAAGCATAATTAAGTTACGCAAGGAAAACATTACTTGATTTGAATTTATTTTGTCTGGTTTTTACTATATTAAATCATTCATAATATTACTTAGAATAGTCTATTCTGATTACTTTTGGGGGAGGGGAGTACATAAGGAAACTAGTTAATTTGCCTAAGTATAAAATTTAATCTAGAATGGTTTAGCAAAAAGCACAGGATTGTAATGAGTTGGCATAATAAGCATAATTAGGTGTTCAGTATAGCTGTGGATTTACCTTAATATATGAAATTAAGGGAGCAAACCCCATTAAATCCAGGCAAGCAGTTTCATTTAAGATCTTCATAAAATGCCTCTACTCATGTATTTGGTCTTGCTGTGATGTGTATATTGTTAAACGTTTTGGTTTGTAAATGTTTGATTAGGTTATGATGAATAGAAAAGTAGCTTGGTCATAGACAAAAGGCAGACTTGAGTTAGAGCATTATAGGAATATTAGATAAAGACTGGAAAATCAGATATAGAGTTACAAGCCCAGTACCACCAGGTACCACATTACATTGGGGACATGGTCCTAATGTTCTCTTAACAGCAAACCAGTCCAGTTATGGTGGCCCAGCTAGCCAGCAGCTGAGTGGTGGTTATGGAGGTGGCTATGGTGGTCAGAGCAGCATGAGTGGATATGGTAAGCATGCTTCTTTATATACTTACAATAACTTTCAGAGAGGTTTCTTTAGTTGGGAATATGTGGGCTCCTTTTTAGTGAAGTTGGATTATTAAATACATGCTTTTGAGCCTAATGTAACCTTTTAATAGTTTAATTTTCAGAAACAAACATTGGGAGGGGGAAGTGTTCTATGTATTATAGTCATTATTGCCACTGCAATTCTGTCAAGCCAGAAAACATGCCTCCATTACTAAAAAAAAAAAAGTACACATTTTGTCTTTTGGTTAGCATTAAATCAATTTTAGATAGAGGGACAATTTTAAATAGTGGGATGGCGGTGGGGTTCAGGACCGTATTTACTAGTCAGTTACTAGTTACTAGGATTGATTTTATTTATTTATTTTTCAATTGGTCTAAAGAATGGTGATTTTGGTATTATAGTCTTACCCTACAAAATCCTTTTGCAGACCAAGTTTTACAGGAAAACTCCAGTGATTTTCAATCAAACATTGCATAGGTAAATATTTTCTCAAAAAATATAATTTAAATTCCCAATAGCAATTACTGATATGTTGTAATAACACTTTCCCATAGCAGTCAATGGCTCTGACTTTAACTCCATGGAGGCTGCCATTTTGGGCACAGTGAGTTGCCTTTAGTCCACCTTTGTCTCACTTCTGCCTACCATGAATAGGAAAAGCAAGAGACTTTCCCTGTGCTCCCTATTCATAGGCCATTCAATGGACACATTGTGAATGTTTATGGTAATTTTTTTTTTTTTATGTGAAATGCCTTATTTAGCTTTAAAAACAACATGAAGTAATTTTTGCAATTTTTGAAAAACACTAGTTTTCCTTTAAACTTAATTTTCCACATTGATTGTTCTGAAATATCCATTTAAATGGTAGCACAAGAGTCTGGCAAGTTGGTACTGCAGAGAAAAAGGGGTTAATTAAAACTTGGAGTCGGGTTTCCCCTTTCCCAAACGTGGTTCTCTCGCCACTTGGACAGCAGCCATTTGTACTCTGAAACTTTTTAAACTTTTTCTTGGAATGCTGCATTTTATTTGACTGATAAAGTGACACTTCTAATTTGTCAAATTGATCTCTTTGCAGGTAGCCAAGGAGCAGTGAACAGCAGCTACTACAGTAGTGGAAGCCGTGGATCTATGGGAGTGAATGGAATGGGAGGGATGTCTAGCATGTCCAGTATGAGTGGTGGATGGGGAATGTAATCCTGATCACTGACTCTTGGTCAAAATTTTTTTTTTTAAAAAAAAAGAAAAAAGAAAAAAACTTAACAGTTTCGCAATATAAGCTTGTGATTTATGCTTACTCTAAGTGGAAATCAGGATTGTTTTAAAAAGATTCAGGTTCAGTGTTTATGAACACAACATTCATCTAGGTGTAACAACGAAGTGTGAGTAAACTGTAACTGTTAAACAATTTTCAGCTTTTCTCAAGTTAGTTGTAGGATGTACTTAAGCAGTAAGTGTATTTAGGTTAAAGCAGTTCAATTATGTTAAATGTTGCTCTTATACCACATTACATTGAACACTGAATGCATGTTGAGAGACATGCTTTTTTGTAAAACTCAAATATAGGAGCTGTGTCTACAATTAAAAGTGAAACATTTGGCATGTTTGTTAATTCTAGTTTCATTTAATAACCTGTAAGGCACGTAAGTTTAAGCTTTTTTTAAGTTAACGGGGGAAATGAGACGCAATACCAATACTTTAGGATTTTGGTCTTGGTGTTTGTATGAAATTCTGAGGCCTTGATTTAATTAAACCTTTCATTGTATTGTGATTTCCTTTTAGGTGTATTGCGCTAAGTGAAACTTGTCAAATAAATCTTCCTTTTAAAAACTGCAATTTGTCTTGTCTATGCTTTAGTGTCATGTGGACTGTTTCTTGGTGCTCTATTCCTGCCTGGGGCGTAGGTGACAGTGTAGCTGTGGCAGAGAGGCTCGGCAGTTGAGGCTGTTGTATAGATGTCTTCAGACTTCTCTTCCCTGCGGTGCATCTAAGGTAACCACAGCTTGGGGTCTTTTTGGAAGGGTTGTATGTTGTTTGGACTGGGTGCATGTGACCTGATTTGAAGTTCCTAATTTGCTAAAGCATTCGTATAAAGGGAAAGGCACGAGTGGACTCACTGCATGGCCTGCATGTCCACAAAGGCCTTCAGGCATGGCTGAGGAAGATTCCAAGTTGATGTCTTAAGGGTCTACATATTTTGCCTCATTCCTAAAAATTAAGTCCCTTAAAGAACAAAATTTCATTCTCTGTTAAAAAAAAAAAAGAACAACAGCAAGTGGTACTGAGGATAAAGACACCTAATCAAAATCAGTTGATGAACTTTTCCTGTTTTGGTAGGTCAGAACTTAAATGACATTTGTAAGTTGGATGAAGCAGTTCTTAAAGATGTAATCTAGAGTTACCTTTTAGTAGCTACTTAAGGCAGTACACTCTGGGAACCTGCCACTCATTCATCCCTCGAGTTAGAAGTCGGATGTATTGAGATTGGACTGAGTCTGGTATATAGGCTTGTGCTCTTTTCAAAGCCACTCCTGATTTTTTTCTGTAATAGTGCTAAATATTTTCTCAACTTTGTTCATGGGTGTTAGTATGGCTTGGGTTAATTCATTGAAAAATTGTTTTAATTCGCCCATTTCAGCCATAGATTGTATGTATTGCATGTTAAAGGCATGAAGGGCGCTGCAGATAGCTGCCCGTGCTCTACTGCATGCCTTCCTTATATATACTCAGTGTCTAGTCATAATTGGAGGGAAAAGTTCTGAAATCAGGCTGGTTATGTAGAAATGTTTCATTTGCAATGTCATGGAGCTTTTATCTTTCAACAGGTCTAGAGAGGGGAGGCAGTGTTGAAAACTGGCATGCAGCTGAGTGTTCTAAGCCTGGTATTGCTGCTGAGATCTTGGCCAGATTACTCGGTACTTGATACCACAGAGACCTGGTGGTGAGAAGGGCCTTAAGGAGGGTTCTTACCCTGGAGCCCTCAATTGTTTTAAATCTAGCAAAATAGGAACTTCTTTTTTAAAAAACTAGGCTAGCTGGAAGAAGAGAGAGGAACATGGAGATTAAGTAAAACCGGCACCCTTTGCTTTTATTTAAAGAAAGGTCAAGAACCTGATTCTTTAGAACTTTGTGGTCCATGGACCAGCATTACCAGTTTCGAGCTTTTTAGGAATGAAACTCCTGACCCATTTGATGTGAATCTGCGTTTTAAAAAGACCTTCCACCCCCCAGCTGACTTGATGCTTGAGAAATACGGCCTTAGAACTACTACCCTCATTGCTTAGGTTGGAAGGTGGTGGTGCAAGACTGAACCTAAAAACCAAACCCACTGCTGTTGAGTTGTTCCTGACTCGGTGACCCTAAAGGACAGTAGAACTGCCCCGTAGGGTTTCTAAGGCTTTCAGTCTTTATAGAAGCAGAGTGCCTCATCTTTCTCCTATGGAATGGGTAGTGGGTTTGAACTGTCAACCTTCCGATAGCAGTCAAATGCTTTATAACCACTGTGCCACTAGCGCTCCTTAGAGTCTGAAGGGTCCCCAAGTTCAGATGTAGAAGTTTAAAGTCTAAGCAGAAAAGGATTATCTTCCATCCAGGTAGCTAAATACTGGTAACTTTGGTACATGGCTCTATTGTGTGAATAGTGCTTATTGAACATTTGTTACTTGGTGTGTGTGTGGGGGGTGACTTGATAGATGATAGGTGGGATAAAGGGAGAGAGATTCACTCAGCACTTGATGTCAATCAGTGGGAACTTAATTTACTAATGGTCAAAAAGTCTTGAAGTAGGGCAGTATTACCCTGCCTCCTCCTTTGTGTGCAGGTAAGAGTGAAGGCTCAGAAATGAAGTGACTTGGCTGAGGCCCCTCAGCAAGTTCGAGTCGCATGTTGGGTGCACTGAAAACAAGGTTTTATCTGTGGTAGAACAGTTGGAGGTACTGCAAAAAGTATGGAAATTTTGTGAAAAAGTCAAGGCCTGTGATGAAAAAAGCTGCTCAGGTTAAGTAACGGAAGGATTTTGCTTTGGGGCTGAGCAGCCCTCTGAATCCTGGCTGTTAGGACCTGAGGTAAATCCTGGATTCTAACCTTGCTGAACCTCCTGTCCATAAAATAGAAGTGTGAGAGGAACCAGGCTGTGGTGAACCTTCTGCAAAGAGCCCAAGAAGGAAAAGCTGGGCTTCAAGCCAGGTTTTCAGGGGCTGGGGTAACTTGGACTAGGCCACAACGCTTGGTGGTGGTGGTGGGGGCAGTACAGGGGAAAAGGGGGAACTGATGGAACTTGAAGCCTAAGATCTGTGAAGTTGAGAGAGCTCCACAAACGGCACCTTTGAGATTGGAAAATGACTGCTTGCTTGTCAGGTGCATTTCCACAGTTTCTATCAACTCTCACTTATCAATAAACATTTTTAGAGCTTCAGTGACACCTCCACCCCCACTCCCACACCTGGGCTTGCTTCACTTGGCATAGCATAAGTTGAGCCCTCGAGTCACACGGGTGATGTCCAAAAACTTTATCCCAGCCTTTTTGCCTCAGTAGTTCCTGAGATGAGGCCATCCTTCAGACACAGCCATTGGTAAAAAATGTATGGCCAGCAAGCTGCTACAAAGTGGATACAAACTGATTTTTGGCACCAGAGTGAAAAATAACTGATTCATTGAGGGACAGTGCAGTGTATTGACAAGGGTGTGGAATGACAAACCCTGACTGAAGCAGGGAAGAAGGCACACTGATTGCCCCTGTTGGGTTAGAAAGTAGTGGACAAATCAAAGGGCTTTCTTGATGAGTGTAGGTGAGGGAGAAAAAGCTGATCACTCCCTAGAACAATTGCTGAAAGGGTTAATTCTTTGAAAAATTAATTCTTTGAAAATGATAGTAGCAAAACCATAAAGTTCCATTTGAACAAAAACTACTGGTATAACCAAGTGAGAGAAGAGTTTCAATCCAGAGGAGTTAATTCCATACGGTTCAAAAAGGAGAGCACCCAGCTTCCAGTTCCATTGTGCTATATCTTCCAGAACTCAAGCAGGCCAGCATTTTCTTCTTTCCCTTGATTCTCTTGGGAAACAAACTTCCCAAAGCCCTGGTGTTTCCCTGAGACCCAAAGAGTATGCCACTGTTCCAAGGCTGCCTCTGCCACTCCAGAGGATGGAGTTCGGGGGTGGTCCTTAGGAGGCGGTGGAGGAGCAGCGCTGCAGGAGCAGAGTGTGGCAGTTGTCGCACACGCGCACTGGCTTGGGGTAGGAGGGCAGGGCAAGCTCGTTGCTGGAGCACGTGTTGCAGAAGATGTGGCCACAGTTGCGGCAGTGGTGCTAGAGGATAGGGGAAAAGGTACTCAAAGGACTGGCCGCTTCAGAGGGTGGGAGGCTATCTACATATCTATGTATTTGAACTGTTACAAACTTCCCCAGAGAATGTTTATCAATTTTGAGTGGGATCTACCAGGTCTTTCTCTTTGCTTCTACATTTGTATTCCTATAAAATCTACATAGATGCTTACGTGAATGTAAAAGTGTATTTTATTCGTTAAAAGTGTTTTAACTGTACTTTGCAGGTCTATAATGAGTAGTTCAGCTCATTCTCTTAAACTGCTGCATTCAGAGCCCATCCTGAGGGGCCAGTAGTGTTCCTCAGGGCATCCTCTGTTCCTGGTCCCAGCCTAGTCTGCAGTTTAGGTCACAGCTGTTCCACCCCTATCAGGCCTTGACCATTTCAGGCCTGATGAGGCTGCAACCTGTAGGAAGGCCTTGTGGATAAATATGAGTTCAAGGGTAGCATCAGGCGGGTGGTTTTCAAATGGGCTATTCCCACTTGTACCTCAGCCTATTGTAAGACACTGATTATAATTTGGGAGAGTTTTTCCTTTCTTCCACAGAGATAAGCTGTATGATTAGCTGTATGATAACACTATCCACATGGTAGGGGGATGGCGGTGGTATACAAATAGCAGGCAGTTCTCTTATTTTTAGTGATGACCCCACTTAGATCCTGGCTCCCACTTTAGGCCATCTCATCACAGGTGTAGGTGAGACTTCTAAAGTGGGGGCCAGGACCTAATACTGTTCCTAGAACCTGAAGGGAGGTGGCACAAGCATAAATAGCAGGGCAGGTTCACTCTGGCATGGGGGCCCTACCCAGACTAACCCAGTTTCTGGTGCTACCTGTTAGAAATTTGCTATCCCATAGACTGTGCATAGAGTTGGTTTGCCAAAGACAGCTAAGCTTAGGTTCTGTTGTTTACAAAGAATTTTCAAAGAAAATTTGTTTCAGAGAAAGCCTGGTACATAAATAAGCCCTAGGGCCAGTGGATATAGGTTCACTCTACATACCTTCCTCCGGGAAATGGAGAACTCCTTTTCACACTGTTTACAGTGAGTTGCTTCATCATCTTTCAGCCAAGCATGGCCCTGAGAAGGCAAAAGCAACCAGAATCCCATTTTATGCCTTGGGTGTGATAGGTAATTAGCTGTGCATCCATTAGCCCTTCCTAATAGCACCTGGATTTTCTTTTGAGGAATTGGGTCTTCTCCACTAGGTATGGCTTAGCTAAACTGTGAAGAAGGGGCCCTTTTCTCGCGGTAGTTCAATTCTTCCCTGTGTTCACTTGGAGGGCCTGCCCTTTCTCCTTTTGCTCCCTAGCCATTGGGCCTCAAGCCACATTGTCCAGCCTCCTGTTGAACTGAGATTCACCCATACCCTTTTCAATAAATTCCTTTTGGTTGAGATCATGGGTCAGATTCTGTTGCTTACAGTACTAAATTCTGAGACACTATCCAGAGTGACTTGCTGAACTGGGAGAAGGGCCAAATGAGACTAGAATAATCTGCATTACTGCTTCTTG